CTTGAACGGCATTCGAACTCATGACATGACCTCTTAGTCTACCAATTGAGCTATCAAGCCAAATGGCTGCTGGCCACGTTGTGAGTTCGCAGGATGCCCGTAGATAGTGAAGAATGCAAGTGGATAATTTAATAAAATTGTAGATGATGTAAATACGTTCAGGAATTGAAACACAATGAGACCGTGTACCGTGTTTCTATCGAGTTTTAGTATAAATTTACCAGCGGTCTATCACGAATGCCGTTCTCTGATTGGCTATGCTACTCACTATCTATTCTGTAATAGATAGTGAGTAGCGAGGCAGTGTGCGCTTGTTAACAGAATGACGGCCGCTTCTTGGCGTTTTCGAAGTGTCTGTGAAGAGGATCTAGATAAAGTTTTGAACGACTTGTTGATTTATACTAAAAAAAAATAGATTATTCGCCATCGATTTCTATGCGTGATAGTTGACGAGGGCTGCGCCCTCGTCAACTACCACGCGATAGAGCTCATAATCTTATTGTTAAATAGAAACACGATTTTTACATCTACATTTGATTTCGTCGGTAAAGTCATTAGACATCACACCAACGTTAAACCAATCAGCGCGCTTATTTTCTTTGGGTTATTTTCTAACGTAGTACAGTATCTTACCTCGTCCTTAACATCATTTTCCTCTTTTCCCTCAAATTTCCCATGCTCGTTTTCCGTATTTTCAACATTTTCCTTTCCATCCTCGCCTTCGTTGCCTTCTTTTTTTACAGGATTATCAGCCAGTAAAGTATCAAATAACACTATCCTCTTGTTCTTGAAGAAGCCATAAAAATAAGCATTGCTATGAGATGATCGCTTGGAGCCCTCCACTATATATATCTTGGTTAAGGGAAATGAAATCTTGGCTGCTAGCTGTTCAATTGCAGTGCGTAGGGCACCTTCAGGAAGAAGAGTGAACTTGTCAAACAGTGGAGCAATGTAGTCCATGTACACAGTCACTAAAACCTGCAATACAAAGAGACAATTCTTTGTGACAAAAAACATTTTGAAAACAGAGCTTTTCAAAAATGATGGCATCACGATTATCATGTGATCAGGAGGGAGACAAGCTAAAGTGTCCGTATTGGGGGAGTAGGGATGGTGCAGTGGTTAAAGCATTCGTCTCCTACCAAGGGTGGCCCAGGTTCAGATCTCAGATCTCGCATCATAAGTGGGTTGAGTTTGTTGTTGGTTCTCGCTTTGTCCCAGGGTTTTATTCCCTGGGTTCTCCGGTTTTCCTCACTCCACAAAAACCAAGACTTGTAAATTCCAATTCCATCTGGAAACAGTAGACATCTGTCTGTCTGTCTGTCTGTCTGTCTTTAATTAATTAATTATTTATTTATTTGTTCATGTGTTTTAACGGTAAACCAGTGTTTGTATAAGCAGGCTAATGTAAGAGAAAATATATAATTAGCTTTTCAACAGGATAAACAACACTGTCTGTGCTAAGTGGACTTCCATATTAATTGGGTGCCCATATGGTGGTGTTCCCTTCTTTAATAGTGTTAAACTGACATACCACATACCAAGGTGACAACAAGTGTAAATAGCCAAGCGTAAATGAAGAAGTACTGTCCTCCCCACTTAATGATGAACTGCAATGCAGCAACTAAGGGAAGTGATATAACCAGCATGACAGCAAGCTTCTTTACAAGGTCTTTGAAAAAGAAACCAAGAGTCTGTAGAATAAACAAAAGTTAAACAATGTCATCTACATTTACACCAAATTCAGTTCTTATGTACTAACAAAACTTGCAAGCTATTATCTTACAATATTGTGATCAGGCTTTTAGCCAGATGGGCGTCCAGGCATGACCTGTGGACGGCCACTTCATAAAGAAAATTGCTTTCTTTTTCATATGGTGCCTTATAAATTGTTCATTTGCGCAGGCCTAATACAGCTGTAGCACATTTTGGATGGCCACTTTTCAAATCCTGGCTAAAAGCCTGATTGTGATTAATTAAAAATTGTAACTGAAAATAAGTAATTGCATTGTGTTCTTGGGCATGACGCCTCACAACCACAGCACTGAGCAGTCTGTCCACACTGGAGTAATGTACATTCAGTACACTGGCTGTAGCATCGACAAACTGATGAGGTACATGTACCTGACAAAATTCTAGGAGGGCAGGAAAGGGCGGGGGCTACCTAGTCCAGGGAGGATTAGTGATCCTGTTAGTTGGTTCATGCTATAGAAATCAAAGGAAGCTTTTGGAGATGGGAGGGTTCCATTCCAATATTCAACAAAAGAGGCTGGAATCTGCCCAACTTCGAATAACCATTGAAGCTCACATTTAAGAGAACCACTGTGATGTAATATCCAGTTCTCAGAACCAGTATTAAGCAAAAAGCATATCACTGAAAAGAAGTAACATTTTGAGTTAAAAGGAATATCCTTCACAGCTTTTGTAAATTAGAAAACTAACTGTACACTGCATTGCAACCTGTTTTAATTTGCAAAAACACAAAATATAAAGTTATTTTCAAAAAAAATAAAACTGCTTAGAAAAATTTGCAAGCTTGAGAGGATAACAGAAACACTAATGCTTAATACTCTGCACTAGTATATCAGACAGTTAATATTATTGTTCAAAGTGTTCAATGTGTGGTTACAAGTAGTTAAAAAGAAAACTTCCTTATAGCTCAGTCAATTGTACTGAACTTACCTGCTTGTTAAATCCATGCTTTTCTTCGATAACAAATGTGCTATAAAGGCTCCAAGGAAGATCAGTGATGGTACTAAATAACATTCCAAGCAAGAGAAATGCTATAGACTGGGTGATCTAGGAAGAACAAATAGCCACTTCTAATACTGGCAGTTTAGCCAAGACTTAAGTGCTGTGGGTATGTTGGGGTTTATTTGTGGAAAATTTGCTGTTAGTTTAAAATTGTTCAAACCAGTTTGATTATATTTCCCTTTGCCTGAAATAAAAAAGACCAACATTTAGTGCATGTTTTGAGAACAATCTTCCACTGACACCTGTTGCTGCAGTAAACTTAGCACTGAATATTAGTTCTCCTGGCACTGGAATAAAGGTGCAAAACACTTTCTGCAGGCCATTATAAAGTAACCAAATTCAGCTAAATGTACATGTACATGAACAATCTGTGAAGTTCAGACTGTGGGCAGTACTTGCTATGTGTAGCTCTGCATGTGATAGTTTCTACAATGTATTTTCTTCGATTCTACAGACCTCATAATCAGTTGTATATCCAAACTTGGAAATCAATACTCCAGAAACTCTCCACAAAAATGGAATCCCACCAAGCAACAGGATCAGCTACAGAAATAAAGTAAAACAACATATTTTGAATTGTTAACACATTATTTTTCCCATNATATTTTTCTCGTTTGCCTATGACACTGAAAGTTACTTCAATGTACTGAATGAATGCTAAGAGGAGGTTTTGTATAAGTCTTGTGAGCTTTAAAAATCAAAAATTCCCGCATGTGCCGAGCAAATTGTTGTAAACGAATCAGTTCGGGTAAGGAAAGGGAGGGGACCACCTCAGTGCAACCAAACTCACATTACTCGTTCTTTAAATGTCTTACCTGACGGTATGAGAGATAATTTTCCCACAAATACGTTATCCACAGAAAGACAACCACAGCGACCAGAATGTCCACCATCTTGAACAGAAGAGTGCCGGCGATCCATCAATGCAGCAAACTACCACGTAAAGTAATGCGTGACTGCGCAATTCAATTCCAGTCTCTCGCAATTTTTGATAAAAATCCAAAAAAATAGTTGTTGACATTGTTGTGGCGACGTTGTCAAAAGATCACTCGACATTGTTGGAATATAGGATTTCGTTTCCTGACGTAATGTAGAAGATTCCGACGCGGTAGGTCATGAAGAACTGAGTGGTTTTGGATTGCCAGCGAACTTTTCTCGGGTAACCGTAAGAATGGGCAACGGGGCAAATTCACGGCCCGAAAACCCTGTCGTGATGCAACCGTCGCGGACCAGAGGACCTGTCCCGCAAACGAGTGGTTATTACGGGTCTCAGCCTGCTTATAGCTCTAGCAGCTATGTTGCTAATGGCGATGGTGGGAGGTTGCAACCCCATTACGGTTCCCACTCTCAATATTCGGGAGATCCCGCGCTCAGAAATGGTTGGTCATCACAGCATTCGGGCACGTACGGCTCCGGTTATGGTAGCTACGGGTTAGACCGAAACATGGAGCGTACAGTCGCTCCGTATTCCAGTTCGAATTCTCGATCGCCTCNGACACTTAACTCTCACAGTGCCTCTCTCCACCCAGGTGTATAAATGGGTACCAGCAAATTGTTGGGGAAATCTAACAAATTGTGGGGGTAACCCTGCGATGGACTGGCATCCCGTCCAGGGGAGTAAAAGTACTCCTAGCCGCTTCATGCTACAGAAATGGGATAAGCTGCAGCAGCTATGAGCCAGCTGGCTCCAAGGCTTCACACTTCCCATGTGGTGTTGTATTTCTAAGGTCATGCATTTGAATCTCACCGAGGCCAAGAGATTGTTTTAATGTCTTGCATGGGCCAATGCTCAGAGGGAAATTGGTGGGTTGTTTCCAGCACTTAAAATAACCTCAGAGTTTACTCTCTACCTTCCACATTTTTAGTACTGATTGAAGTTTTCTACCTTTACCTACCTTAGCATGAAAATCCAAACAATCTATTTTGTCTTAAGAAAAAAAATGAACGCTAAGTTACTGGCAATTGCACACACAACTTGGCAGATGATAACTTCCTTTTGCTTTCCAGCGGATGAACCACGCCCATTTCCTGAAGAATGGTATCAACATGGTTACATAGAAAACAACGATCAGCCTGGGTCTGCCAACCACATGTATGATGAAGGGTCTTATGCCACAGCACCAGCTGATGACACCTGGGTGCCAAGATGGGAAGATGATCGCATGGGAATGATGGAACACCCACACAGAGGTAAACAGAATTATCTACTCTAGATATCTTTGTTTTGTATTGTGGCTGTGGTTAATGTGGTGTACCATGCATTCAGGCCTCGTGCACACTACACCGGAGGAATTTAAAAATGCAGCTTTATTTCTCTGGTTAGGCCTACTGTCCACACTAATCCGACACCGTAGGGCAAATATATCATCATTCGCTGAAATCTCGTTTAAACTCTCTGGAATGAGAAAAGATGACACCATTGAATGTTCAAGAGTCTTTATTTGGTAGATTACCCATACATCGATTGATTTCAATGTCATCTTCTAATCTCCATACAAACTCTTATATTTCAGCGACAGTTCACCAAACAAACTCTTATATTACGCTTGTGTGACCAGTGTGCTAATCCGTCACGAAAGCGGTGCTTTTCGAAAACGGTCTTCAAACCATAGTAACTTCAAAACGTACCTTTATTTCTAAACGGTCTTAAAAACGGCAGAGTAACAGCAATTTTTAAAAAGGAAATTACAAAACATGTTTCGACATTCCTATGTCATCTTCCGTTGCAAATGTTCGACGGTTGTACGTTTGAATTTTCACTGTATACATGATTACGTTAGAGAAGTACGCCATAAAATTTACGTTCACAAGTTGAATATTTTACAATAACTGTCCAATTTCTTGTGCGCTGATT